CATAATATTACTAGAAAAAAAGTGGAATTTTACAAAAAAACATGAATAAACACAAAAACAGTTTTTAATGTAATAAGCAGCAAAACATATCACACTGACTCAACATAAAAGTAGTTTTAAAAGTTGCGATTTGAGAAATAATGTTTCTGTAAAGAAAGACACAAACAGTATACTTATTGGCCTATTTGCTCAATTGTCGGACTAAAAAAGACAGAGATGTTCGCAGATGACTGTGACTCTAATCAATTGCCAGATGAAATGGCAAATTGCAAAGTCCAGGGCGTTGGAGATCGGGGAGAGAGCAGGACTTTGGATTCCAACATCAAGGGAGAGGCTCCTGGAGGTTAGGAGTGCTGGCTTGTGTTAGACCTTAAGGTCATCATTCCCTCCACTAATGCCCCTGGCATCACCTTCCTCCTTCACTTCAAACACTATGGCTACATTCCTAGACCATGTACCAATAAGCACTAATAATGCAGAAAAATGAAAACCAAAACAGATGGGCTCCAATAGTGGTGGGGATTACCAAGTCCTATCCAGGGCTCTATCTGCACCCCTGGGCGCAGAGAGGTGAATCCCACACCATCTTTTTCCCAGCACAGCAACACAGGCAGGAGGTGAAAAAAACTGTGGCAGCAATATGTTGACATGTCCAAGAAATGTCTATGGAGAAGTTCAAATGGTCAGTTGTTCTTAGACATGAGAGGACGGAATGTTACAGAGTGCACCCCAACCGTATTCGTATTTGTCTTTTTGATTGCAGGAGTTTGTATTTCTCCTCTATGAGCGTTATAAAAATGCGTGTGTGTTGCGTCACTTGTGGTCTTTCAGTAAAATAGTGTCCCATTGTGGAATCCACAAAGTAACAGTATACCACTGTTACTGCATCTATGCTTGACCTGCAGTATGCAAACAATGCCTCATTCAGTGGCGGCAGTGTTTTGTGCCGTTGACTGACACAATAAAGCAGCGCGCCGCTGTGAGGGCACGCTCGGATGTTTGGCTCTGTCCCCTCTCTATGGTCAAACCCGCGGCATAGTCTGTCATTTGATTATGCGCGAGCCCTAGAGGCTCAAAGACTATGTGTCAGACTCTGGTTAAAAGTCTCCCTCAACAATTAACCACGCGCCATGGAAAATGCCCAACGAAAACACCCAAAAGCCCCCCCCCCCTTCTTCTGCGCTCCCACTGGGAACTCGCTGTGAACTCCTGTGAACTCTGGGAAATCATGAGAAGAAATCTAGACTGTACTGAAACCCACAAACGCCACAATGTTTCCAGTCCTGTGAAGCAACAATTAATTGAGGTTTGGTTTGTTAAAAGAAAAATTAAATAAAGTGATATTGGTCTGTTGAAAAAGTGATGTGGAGAAATAGTAAATTGCCAACTGCCAATTACACCAGTAAAGTAAAATCAAAACAATGGCCCTGTCAAAATAAAACTCTTGCCTGGTTGGAATGTGTCACAGCCTGATTGATTTAGTGTGATGAAGTGAGGCTGGGATATGCAGCCTCATTGCCACCTCTCTCCAGCCGCTGTCTGAGAACACGCTGTGCCTTTACTCAGCAGCTGCTGAGAGTCTTGTTTTAAATGACCTCAAATAAGAAAATCAAGCTTTGTATGTTTTTCAAGGGTCGGGCATTAGAAGACACCGGCGAAGAGAGAAAACGAATCACAAACCTCCAATTGTGTCTCAGGTGGAAAATTTGCGGATTCTGGTTATCTAATGAAAATATTGTCACTAGGCTCATTTCCTATGTGGTGCCAGGAAGGCAGAAGAGTAAATGTGCGAACAGTTTACTGAAGGCTGACTCTTGACTTGGACTATGTGAGTTGGTGCATGTGTGTGTGTCTTCAGCTCAGGTTTCAGCGCGACTGTTTTCATATCGAGGCCACGCTTACCTCAACCTCTGAGAGTCCTCTTTGGCCTATTCACGTCCCGGTGCCAGCGAACAAGGAGTGACATAGGTTATATTCACGTATCTCCTTGAACTGGAGCAAATGGAGAGAGGAAGCTAGAAAAAAGGCGAGAGGGCACGAGGATGTAGAGTGTGAAGGTATAAATGGATAATAAAATGCATCCTGGCCAATTTGGATTTCTGTTTTTACTCTGTCTGCTCCAACTAATGCTGTGTGCCCAGAGCCTGGGTGGAGCTGAGTGGGACTCTGCATATTTTGGAAAAATGGTGATGAACGCTTGTGAAACTAAAGGAACAGTCCAAATTTAGTAACTATGTTTATTTTGCTTTTTTCTTGAGAGTGGGATGAGAAAATTCATATCGCTGTCAGGCCTGTGGTTAATATCAATCTACTGGCAACCAAATTTACTGTTAGGCAAATTCTGTTGATACTCTCCCCCTTGTTTTCAGTTTTTATACTGCATCTGGCACCAGCCTCAAATTCTCATTTGATTCTCGACAGCGAAGTGACCAAGCCTGTTTCCTGTTAATGAGTGAAGACTGGCGTACATATTTAACAGTTTTGGTCTCATCTGAGGGTGTGTGAAAAGAGGTTGTTCAACTAATGCTATTCCTTCTCTCCATTTGCAGCTATACAGTTTTATTTACTGCAATCTTCTGTAAAAGTATGGATTGTTATAGCAACAAGGAGGCACGGTCACACATAGCGAATGTGAATATCGCATGTCACCAAAGTTGAACTCCAAGCAAAGCCAATGCGAATGTTTTGTTCACACCCTCGCTTGCACAGATTGGAAGTGAACAGAAAAAGGAAGGTTTGCTATTAAGACATTTGCATATGACACCATACCCTAAGGTATAAATCAGTTTTGTCTGTTTCATTTACGCATGTGCTTTAACTTGTGTCGCCTGAATTAAAGATCAGCTATTTTAACGTGTTTCCATTTTTTTCAAGGTTATGACCTCTTAATTTTAAGTTTTTATTCTTGACTATTTAATTGTATGAATTTGTGACTGCAAAAGAAAAAAATCCTGCAGGAGAATTTATGGATGTAGAAGGTTTACTCTAACATCTCCACCACAGCGTCAGTGGCCTAGTCTTCTGTCCTCGTCTTCTGTCCTCGTCCACGCACAGACACCTCTCTGTAAGCTCACCTGTTCTGCCCTGACAAGGAAGAGCTTCAAGCCAATTGTCCTGTCTGTCCCATGCAAACACAGCGTGTGCCCGGCAACCCCATCCATGTTTGCTGTAAATGGGCACCTTTTGTTGCATGTGTTTACTCAGTCTTTCACATCTTTCACACTTAAATCCACACGCACATATATATATGGCATGTGTGTATATATATATATATATATATATTTATACATAGAAACCGGGAACAAACATGTATATTGTCCTAAAAGTTTTCATATTGACACACAGCTCTTCCTGTTTTCTGTTCAACTTCACAAAGTTTCCTCATGCTGTAAACTTCAGGTGACGAGAAAAAGATAGAAAACGTCCGTGAATACTTTACAGTTATATGTGCCCTGAATCTCATCCAATCATGTTCCAGACTGAAAATGATGTCATTGTGGTGCTTCTAGGTAAGTTCACCTATGACAAGCAAAGATAAATGGCAGTTTAATGTGGGCAACAATTCCAACACCTGGCTGTCAGATCGTAGTCCTGATAATAGAGATATATAGATGTACCACACTGTGCTCAGACTCTAAACAACAGATTTCATAATCTCACTTGCTCCCTCAGCTCAGGAATAGCAGCCAGGGTTATAGAACGCTGTCATGCATATGGCATTAGGAATAGAGACATAGTTACGCAGAACACCGTGAGTGTTTATCTGCGTGATCACGTTACCACACAGACAGTGGATGGAAGCTTGCCTGGCCACATTGAGTAGCTGTCAGGGAGATGAAGGAGCACCCAGATGGTACTTCCAAAAAACCGCCCGACAAGCCCCGAGGTGATAGGTGGGGCTCGCTCGAGTCGTGCAGCTGTACTGGTATGTCACCTGAACTTTTCTTCGACCTCACCCTGGCTACATGTGCGTGTTTCATGCCTCCGCGTCCTCATTCTCTGACAGAGGTGTCACACACTGGAAGGGCTACAAGCTTGGGATGAATGTCAGCTCACCGGTTGAAGTCAAACAGTGTCTGCAATATGCGCTTTGAAGTAAACAGGTTGTGCTGTTTAGATTAGTCGTAGCAATATTTACAGGAGTCCATGCTGATGGCTCTATTATCCTAGCATCCACATGCTAAAATGCTGAGGTTAAATATGTATTTTGGCTTGTTAGCATGTTAAAGTTGACTAATTACAGTAGCACTAAACACAAGGTATAACAATTGGGAGTGTAATGAGTTTTAGCCCGACGTCACACGACATTCCAATTAGCTTTCTAAAGCAAAGTTATCTACATACTCTGACAATGAGCAACGACTCCAGTAGCAGCACACACATTTGTACAACAGAAATGTTGTACGAAGTAAAGGCTTCCCGCCACCAGCGAGAGCAAAGACCATGGTCATCCCAGTCCCAGGGTTAAGCCATGTCTGAGGAACAAGGGGATCACAAGACGTGCAAATCGTTGCACAGACGGTTGTCTGAGCCAGTGGTTTAAACGGTGTGTGTGTGTGTGTGTGTGTGTGTCTGTGTGAAAGGTGAGGGACAGAAGAAGATGGGGGACGTCTCTGAATAGTAGAGGACGTGATAGATTGGAGATTTAGTTTCAACATAGATTTTTTCCAGATTCCCACCTTTGATAAGAGGGTGATAACTTTTGTTGTTTTAAATGTCATTATTTAGAGACATCCCAAATTGAATGTAAGCATCGGCCCTGCAAGGTCCAAGACTGTTTGAAACACTAGGTGGTGTTGTGAACTATGTATTTCTTTTTATGTATACATTTGGTAATAAATGTGATATTAAAACCAGCATTCATGTATTTCATCAAATAGCAGCAGAATATTTTAGTGTACTGCTCCGAAAAACACATAAGTGCAATATGACTTTGAAGTCATCAGGATGCTGATACAACTAGTGGAGCATGTGATGTATATGAAATGTCACCACGTGAATGATCACTGAATGGCATTTATTTAATGTTATCAGGAGAAAGACATTGTTTATTCATCAAACCAGTCAACTTTGGTCAATTAGCAACTTTTAACATTTTTGAGAATGCACATATGACAATGACAACAAAGGTTTTATGGTCTGTACGAAATAAATAGCAACATTGCTCATTTACAGCTTGGCTGAAGAAAACAAAAACAAAAAGGGTTAATCTTCATATTAAAAAGCATACAGATGAGTTGTGACACTCATGAACTCACTAATTGCTCAACAAAAAAAATGCTCTCCTTTTTAAATAAAGCTTTTCAGTTTTTAATATGTACCTTCAAGAGCCTGTTATAGTTAAATAAATAGAATGCTTTCCATTTTTAACATGCACATCCAATTTGCCTGGGGAAAGTATTTACACTTCACTGATCCTACTTTGTCCACCAAATGATCCTCCTTTTTTTTCCCTTCTCGCTTCTAAACAATTCTTTCTCACCACAGACTCTCATACTTACACAAATGTACAGTCACTCTTGCAGACATGCTGCATCTATTTACTATTAACACAATATCTAAACCTATTGAAAGTGATCAAAATGCTAACGGTGAACATGGGAATCCATGTTGCGTAGAGAAGAAACAGTCCAGACATCACCACATCTTAACCGGAGGAGGGGGCTTGCAAAAAGTTTAAGTTTACAATTGATCATGCACTTTATAAATTCACTGTTATTTGGGTTGAGAGTGTGTAATCAGTGGCTTCATTATCTACTTGTTTTCCTTTAGTGAACAAAGAAAAGAGCAACACATCTCCTGTGATGGATCCGGCCAAATCATGTCTAACAATATTTAAGTTTTCCCCAGGAATCTGTTGGTCTGTCCTACAACAAGTGGTTTTTCAGGAAGCTTCCGCACAAAACCAGGAGCTGCTGCGAGGAGGCGTCTCTTCTGTCGTGTCTGTGTTTGTGTAGAAACTCCTGGCCATCGCACTTCAGATTGAGATGGGCAGTTTATTCTGTGCTGATGTTTTCTTTTCTTTTTTCGATTTCTTCGCTTCTCTCTTTCATGACGCAAAATAAGAGTTCTGCATGGAGTAGAGGCGGTCGATGGGGTTCCCCACGCGGGCCTGCATGGAGTTGACTTCCGACGACGCCATGAAGCAGTCACTGAGGCTGGTTAAAGACGTGTCGCTGTCTATGTCATGGAATGCGGAGTCATTTCCTGCGAAGAGATGATGCAGAGAAATGCGTCAGGATCCGGTTGCAGAGGCGTCATTAAAAAACAACAACAACAACAACAAGAAAACCCACAACAACGCCCCTCTCTGACTATGAAATCAACGCAATCTTGTATTTGAGATTTACAGCAGCGTTGGGAAATTATAATTACTAATAGTCACTTTGAGAAACTGCTGTTGTGTGTCATCACAATTGTAAGAACTGTTTAGTTCGATATCATCAAAGCTCACTTTTTGCTGCCCTCCCTGGGACAATTGCAGTCTGTGAGGGAGCATGTAAACAAGGGGCAACCTCCTAAAAGATCTGGTTAATAGCAACTGTTTACGCCTTTCATAAAACCTCAACATGTTATTTCTCTAGAGGGAATAGTTAACTTTATTACACTCTGGATCTTAATGATAGTGTTGCACAAAATGGGGACAGTGTTTGGAGACATATCTTTTAATGCCTTGCCAATATTGTTCTTTTCCCCAAACCAAAGGAGAGTGATGAGACCAGGGACTTGGGTTCTTACTACCGAGAAGAACTAAATGGAGGCAAATTATAAGGAAGTTATGAACTTCAGGAAATGGTCCCTCTGGGGCTTGTTGAGGACATCACTCTGAAATATGTTATTCCAGTTACATCCTGTGGACCAACACTTGATTGACTGATTTTTTCTTTTCTCCCTCCTCTAAGTATTTTAATTCTTCCCTGTATCACACAAAAATCTGAGACTTATTATTTTCCCATTCTGATTCATTAGCTCACAAAACCCTCAATCATTGCTAGGATTGCATTTCATCTTAAGCAAGAAAAAATGTTGGGTAATGGGGCATGTCTCCAAACTGGAGGCAGAGAGTTAAAACCATATTAAACAGATTTGAAAATGAACTTCAAAACCCAGCAGCTTATGAGAAGGCTTGTGTTATCTCATGTGGGAGGAGAATCTGTTCGTAAGACTCTGCCGCGCGGCTGAAATCAGGGGAGGGGGCGCTGTGGCCTGAACACATGTCCCACACTGGGGAGCTATGAGGTTGATCAAGGGACAGGCATGTGTGTGTGTGTTTCCAGAGCAGAAGTGGGTATTTTGGGGAGGGGGATGAATGGCTGGAGGGGGTGGGAGCCAGTGGATGCTCACCATATGGGTTCATGTGGTCCCCGGGCATCTGTGGGGGGGTGAGCCCCTGTTGGAAGGGGTCTGTGCTGTAGCCGTTCTGATCCATGGCGACCAGCTGCTGCTGTGGCGGAGCCAGCGGTGTGAAGGAGTTCATCATTCCCTCCATCCGATTGGACATCACCTCTGTGGAGCAATGAGAACAAACCATTAGAGAAAATGTAATAACAGGAAGGTGGAGCTGCACAGGGGAAAACTGGCGAAGATGAGGGCGTTGATAACGGAGATGTGTTTTCTTTTTAATACCTGGAGTTTCACAAGCTCACCTGACTCTGAGTCACAGTTTTGCAGAACAAAAAATTACTGACAAAAATAAAGGGAGGAACAGCGACAGTAACGCGGATCACTTCCCTGTTAGTATTACCATGGAAACCTACAGTAGTCTTTCCTGTGGCTTCTCCCATAATTCCCTTCACAAACACAGCTCTTGGCTAACTGACTGCTGAGATGGACACAAAGCTCTTGTGGCTTCATGACTGGAGCCCATCCCCCTGCTCTTTCCTCTGCAGTGGCTTTGTGAAATGACGTCTGTCGTTCATTTTGTTTGGCTTCCAAAGAGAACGCTCCGCTTTCTGTGACGTGGACTGTTCTTGTTCATACAGCAACCTGTTTGTAATCTGTTATTCTGTGTAGTTACTGAATACACAGCAGAGGAAGCTCATATTTTCTGATTCAGTGGTATTGCAGTGTTTGTTCAGTCATCACTGAAAAGAAGTGTCAACATTTCAAACAATACATTGCTATGATGCAATGAAAACTTCCATCACAGACAAGTTTTTGACATATCAAAAATCTTTATCAAGCAATTTGTGTCTCGTGTTTTTTGCAGAATTAGATTAGATTGTTAAAAATTCTGAAAAAGTCAAACTCCTTGTCTCTCATTGGAAAAACTGCATCGATTAATACATTTCCATTTAAAATGCACAATGATTGATTCTCATCATGTCACAAAATCATGTCGTCACATACACTAACTATAATTTTCAATAGCATCTCTACGAATATTTGAATTCGAACATTTAAATTGTGGTAACAGTTTTGTCTGTATCGCCCAGCCCTGCTTTTAAGTGGCCAAAAATCTGGACATGCATCATTTTGTGCAGTGAAACTTGAACATCCAGGTGAATGAGAAATAAGCAAAACGCATATTTGAGTGAAAGGGAGCTTTGTATTTGTAAAAATGTAAACGTTAGATACATTAAATATGCAGCCAAAACGTTTCCCAGAGGAAGAAGCCTTGAGCCAGAGGGCCTCAATTGTGTCTGCAGGGTATGAGCACTAGCGTACCTTGGCCAAGTCTCTGAGAATTCTGTTGTTCTTGTTGTTGCTGCTGTCTTCTTGCCAACTTCTTCATCTGAAACGAAAGGAAGGAGTCAAAGTTGTGAGGAACTCCCAAAACTAACATGCAGTCTTTAATTTAAAAAGGATGCTCCTCGCCGTTCACCCTGGAATGAACTGCTTAAAGTCTGTATCTCAGTGCACTTCATTATCAAGTATCAAAGGTTTTCACAAGATAATAATCAGAAAAAGGGGAGGGCACAGACATTTGATGCAAGAGCGAGCTAGAGTTGCAACTCCTCGCTCTTTTTTTAATGCATTTGTGAAAGGAATGCAGTGATAAATTTAACACAAATACTTGTGGTGATTTATTAGCTGGACTCTTAAGATGGAATAAGGCTGTTGAATGTGGACACGTAAGTCTGATTTCATCCTGTGAGTTCACTGCTCTCACCTTAGCTCTCTGGTTCTGAAACCACACCTGGACCACCCGAACGCTGAGTCCTGTCTCTGCGGCCAGCGTCTCCCTCACCTGAACACGTCAACACAAGAGATTTCCAGCGTTACACAAGAAAACACCAACACCACTCTGATCTACTTTCTCCTTCTAAACATTTCCCAACAGGCCACGTTGCCTTTTTGATTTCTGTGAATGTTGAATGAAAGCAGCACAGTGGTCTGTTTGGAACTCTTGGTTGTTGCCTCTTCAAAGCTTTGGAGCGGGTGCAGCGGTCGGACAGAGGCCGTCCTCCTGTATCTCAGTATGATGTTTGGTGCAGGCGGGCTGCGTTACACCAGCCTGTCTCTCTAACACAGAACAGAACGCTGCTCGCCACTTCAAAGCTCGCCTCTGAGGTGGGGGAGATTTTTTTAATTTGAGAATTTTATTTGTAAAACTACTGTAGGGCTCGTGGTTGGCATCTAAAGCTCCATGTGTTCATTACTCCAAACACAAACCAGAGTTTTCTTAAATGTTTCCCTCACTCTGTCGTACCTTTCTGCAGGGCTTTGAGGACACCTCGAAGGAGGCCTTGAAGGCCCGTCTCTGCTGAGTGGTCAGGATGGTTCGTGGTCTCTTGGGCCTCCTGGGATCCTTCCCATCATCCCCCTTGCCCTGGCCTCCGATCCCTTTCTCTGGCTTGATGTCCAACTCCTCATCATCACTTTTCTCTGTGGAGAGAGTCGTTTTTCAGTATCATCAGCACAAGCTTGAACTGACTACACCCTTTTAGCCAGTGACAGCCTGCAGATTAATACATTTTCGCTCTTCCAAGCTCAGGGAGATTCACACACCACAAGTGCATAATCAAAGGAGACACATGTGTTTTCGATACTTTCTTATCAATTTATTACAAAGGAAAAGGCCACATGTACGATTTGACTTACAGAAGTCTATGGCTCTCGCTTGGAGAGCAGAAAGAAATATGCACATTTGTCACTGAGCTGAACACTGCGTCACTTGGAATTTATTGCTCTCAGCTTTGTCTGATTTACACTAAATCAATCTTTGATAAGAACACAACAACGAGTACAACATGGAAAAGGCAACACGAGTACATATGAGAAATACATCTCCTGAGACACGGCAAGAAAATGCAATTTTTGTTCTGTTTTAGATTTCAAAATAATGACAATATATGGATTGTTAGATTTTTACAAGCAGCAACAGGATATTACAGTTCCAGGTAGTAACAGTAGTATAAACGTCATGTTTCTAACCTACAATGTGCCATTAAAACTAAATAATAAAATGGTTTATTTTGATTTTTTTGAGATGAGATAATCATATAGAACTTTGCATTTATCACAAATGACAACATGTCCAATACTCTCCAATGATTGTAAAGATAAATTTGTCAATATTTTGTAAAGATCATTGACATTTTTCTATTGGAAAACAATGTGAAACCTCCATATTCACAGATTGAAATGTTGCATTATGAAAGGTTCACTTCCATTTTTTAAAATACTAACTAAAAAATGATGCTGCGGCAAAATTCTGCAGTGCATTTCAATAACACTTGAAACAAAGGCCTTTGTTAAGCTTTGTAAACATAACATGGGAATTAAATCAATGAATAAAAAAACATGAATTATCACTGTGAAAACAACTGTTTCCAAATCAGGAGCAGCAGTGCCACTAATGAACATTAATGATTTTGGAGTCTGCTGGCTGCGAGAAGAGGCACCCACACGATGGCTCAGTGTCTCCTGTCATCTGGTTCTGATATGTATCGACATTTCTCCGCTGAAAACCTACATCTCAGCTGCTGCATACCGAGGTTAACCTCTGTTCATGTCAACATTTTCCCCATCTTGAAATTTGGAGACGTGCACAAAGGACATGCCGGCGCGAGACACTGGGACACGACCGATTGTGGAAGAGGCAGAGCAAATATTCCCACAAGTTGACAAAAGTTGACACAGGCACAGATGTATTTGACAAATTCCCTGCTTTTGTGCACGTCTAAATGTGAGCCAGATGGTAGTGAACAGTGAGGCTTGGCGAGAAGCCTCATTGTGTGTGGAGGCTATGGGCGAGGAACACTAGAGCTGATAAGAGTGGAGGCGCAGGCTTTTCTGTAGAAAGGCCCCAAATCCCTCTGTCACTCACCATGATACAGTGATTTAATTCTTTCCAGAACCAGATCCTGCCCACGCATGGAAAGCCATTAATACAGGGCGGCTTGGCTTCGTCCTGTTTCCACTTCCTACTGTATCATAAACCTACGCTCCCCACTTGAATGAGAATGCTACAAAATCAGCCATTGAAAAGCTGCAGATGGAGCTGTGTTAGATGTTTTTACTGCTGGGGCCGCATGAAAAATCTCACATGCCTGGCAACTAGTTTAAGGCCAAATTAACTCAGTATTTGTAGCTTCTTTTATTGTTGATAATATAGTGCTTCAACAAGTGAGATCCAGCTCAGGATCATCATGGAGGATGTGTATGTTGGCGACCGCTGTGATGGAACAGAGCATACAGAATACAACACCCTGGTGCCATACGATGATCGCACCACAGTGCTGCTCTCACTCTGGTGCGAGAGGGTGCAGAGGGCTCACCTGAGTCTGAGTCATCGGGGCTGACCGAGCTGAGTAAGTCCTTCTCCCTCTCGTAGTCGATCTTGCACAGCAGCTGACCCTCTTTCAGGACAAACTCGTCGCCCTTCCGCAGCTGACGGTCGCACACGCAGCAGCAGAAGCAGTTGAGGTGGTAGACGCACTCCAGGGCGCGCATCACAAACTCTGTGGGGGCGATTTTCTCCATGCAGCCACTGCACTTAGTCGCAAACAACCTGCAGAAGGAGACAAAGCAGACGATTGTAGGTGGATTGATGACAGAGAACATTTTGTCCTGAGAGAACATTTTTTGCATTATTTCCTATATATTGTATAATGACTTTTCTGATCTTGATGACCAATCAAAGGTCCACAGTTTTGCCGTTCACCTTTTCACACACAAATTCATGCCGTGAATCTATGTGCAACACTTTGCCCACTACACTTCAGTATTTTGCCCTAGGACACGAGCACGCAGAACGTGGGAGCAAGAACTAGCACCTTTTTGGTTGGTGGACGACCTGCTCTATCTTCCAAAGGGATTTTTCTAAACACAGCGGCGAGGGTTTTTTCAAGAACTCAAAAATATAACCATATCACATGGATTCTTGCCTCATTGCACTGGCTACTTGTTTTTCAATCACTGAATGGCCTTTCACCACCTTATCTATAGCCAACCTCCTCATCCCTGTTACGCTGCTTGTACACTTTGCGATCTGATAAGCAGCTGTTACCCTCGGTAACCAGGGCAGGACTTGAGATGGTGGAATAACCTCCCTTTGTCAGACATCTACAGCAGTGTCCTCTTTTAAAACCCTTTTGAAATATATTTTTATAAAATGGCTTTCAAATAAATGTTTTATCCATCGTCTCTTAACCTAACAACTTAATGTAACAATTAGTTAAAAATTATATTAGTAGTTAAATTATTTTAATTACATTATATGTTTTCTGCTTTTATGTTTGGGAGGCACTTTGTATACCTATGTTTTGAAAAATGGTGTTTAAATAAAGTTTATTATAATTATTATTATTATTAGAAGTAGTAGTACATAAAAAAGATCAACACATAAGAATTGAAATGTTCCACTGCTCTGTTCACTCGGGGGTTTAGTTAAAAACAGCCTCACTGTAGCTTTTACGCTAATGAACCCTCTTCTTTACTTGTGCTGTAACTATGGTATATATTAGCATGCGTTTTGTCACATGTGACCACAGTGAACGCTGTTGAGCAAAAATTGTAGATTGTAATTTTAATGCTGATCCATAATTTCTTGTTCTGGTTCAACCAGTATTTTATGCTGACTTATGTCGGCTCGTCTTCAAAAAAAAAAGAGTGTACTGACATGATTGTCCTTCCTAATCAAACTGTATTTTAACCTTTACTATGATCTTATACTTGGCACTTGTTGCCACAGTGGTTGCTGTTCAGCAGGAGTTACACAGTTTCACTTTAAGAGTTTTTCATTAGAGAGGCGTGTGAGATCTTTATTTTGTCCACTTCAGCTGATCATGGAGGGTTTTTGATTAAGACTCAAGTGCACTGGTTGCTCCATGTGTGCAGCTGAGGAGGTGACTCCTCTGACAGAAACTGTTCAAAAAAGGAGCTGGATCATGTTTTAGTGCAGCGAGCAAACCCTGCTCATCCCAATCAGACCTTCACTGGCAATTTACACATTTCTTTCATAACCACAACACTTATATGCATCAGATACAATATCACAGACCATGATTCATTGCTGACTACTGGGCGGCACTCGAGTCTAGTTCATATCTCATCTTACTGTCTAATATTATGCCTCTGTGGTGTAACACTGCCTCGATCACCATTTCCTAGACAACACCTCCATCTTCTTTGATATCCTTTCAGGAAGATGTTTGCATTGTTTTATTGGTGACTGAGAGGCATTTAATTCATCCTCTGTTGTTCTGAAGAAGCCACATTAAATGCAGCAAGAAGGCCGGGAGTGTGGTTGATCTTGTCCAGCCCTAAAGCTGGATTTATTAGCGGCCTCTTTGTTTGCCCTGGTCTGGAAGACAGCTGGCAACCGCCTATCTATTTGTGGTGAACATCTATTTCATTGTGCGAGGCAGGGAGGCAGCGAGAGGAGCAATTGACATCATGTGCTGGTCTGGGACAGGGATGAGCGATAGTGATGAATATAATGTGTAAATATGAGAGGAGGGGAGACCAAAGGAAGGTTTTGTTATGGTAATGCTGTTATAGGTGCTGATTGAGTGGTGATACTGCGGCGTGTGTGCATTCACACATGTGAGTGCATGTGTATGAGCAGCTGTGTGCACGCTGGAAACAAGATAGTGTGGTTTTGGTCGTCTGCACAGCCTCCTGAAAATAATTACTGCTCATCAGAGCAGCATCGGCAAGGCAGAAATTTATGTTATCTAAATGACATCTCATAGAATTGATAAGTTCTTTTAACTAATATCGTTCATTGTAATGAAAATCCCAGCCTGCATCTGGATCAGAACATGGCAGCTACAGCCTCTTATTTTCTTTTGAACCATCATGAGGCAGCAAAACAACAGAGATATCAGAATTAGCTGTCTCCAGGGTTCATAAAGTACTTTAATCTTTCATTTATTACAATAAGTCAAGAGGATTATTATTCAACTATGAAAAAACCTGAAGGATAATCCCCTCTAAAAGAAATTTTGCAATGTTTCTCAAACAAACGACTTGCCAACCTGCATGTAGCCTCTAAACAAACCTCCAAGTTTGGTCACCGAACAATAAAAGACACAAGCAACACAACACCACAATTTCTGCAAAGAAAAACGGAATATTCCGGGACTTGTTTCCAGTTTTTAGAAGGATTAGTGTGTTACATGCTGGGATCAGGGAAAAGAGGTGATGAATCTGTCAAGACAAGTTCCCAGCTCTAACTCGAATGTTTAGCTAATGATCGGCGGCTTAGGCAAAGAAAGAGGGCAAAAAAAAAAAGGTTGAGGAAATTACTTGTTAGCACGGTTTTGATATGTCCAGGCCTCTGCATTCACCTACGACCGCTCTTTTAAATCTTCTCATCTAGATGAAAACATTCTCATTCAGCCCTCTTTCCTTTCTTCTTTCTGCTCTCCGAGTCTAATCTTGTAAGCCATTATTTTTCTATTTCCCCTCTCTGTCACTTTGCATTATTTTTGCTGCTGTAATTCCTATTCGTCCCTTCTGGAATCTTCCTGTCCTGCTTTGTCCCCGGGTCTAATCCGGACTTTCTGCCTGTTTTCAGTCCCCGGTCCCCATTCTCAGCGGGGTTCAGATGGAATAGCCATGCGTGACGCCCCTTCTATGGCAACCACACCTCCACAGGAAGGCAACGGCGACTTTTCGGATGGGCAGAGAAGGCCTTTGAGAAGCTGGCAGCAGAAGTAAATCCCTCTCTAAGGAACAAGGAGAATTAGCAGGGAGCAGTGGACTAGGGATTTAACCCTACCCCTCTCCTTTGAAAGGCGCAGTCAGTCCCACTCCTGCGGCTCGCCACAATCAAACAGAGAAGGAGTGGGGAGGTGGCAGTGGGGAGAGGAGAACACAAACTCCCTGAATGACACAAGCAGTGGATTGTGGAGGAGCCTAATCCCACTTTAATACCTTTCCAAGTTCAGCGCCTAAAGAATGCTCTTTAAAACAACACCACTGTGTGAGCAGTGAAGGTTGACCAGGGGGAGGCACGCCATTCAGCCTCCCCAACATTACCTGATTAGTGGTTTGAGGACCAGGCCAGTGGGCCAGCACGCCACCAGGAGACAGACGGAGAAGATGTAAATGATGATTTTATATATAGAAAAACAAATCGACAGGGGCTGCTGATAACATTAGCTGGAGAGGAGGTTTTGCAGTTTTCTGAGAGGCTCCACCAGGATATTAAAGATATCAAAGAAGCTGTCAGTGTGTCTGGAATCAGACTTAAAGTGATTTAGGGCGATCGTTCACTACTTTCTGCCTCTACTTGATCCCAGTGACCCGTCACACTAAGACCTGTATCCACCTCAAATCCACTTTCTGGTCGTTCAGCTGCTCTGGTAACACGACTCCCAGTGTCGCAGAGGCAAGGCCGATCAGCACCTTTAAGCTCGCCTGTTTATAAAAGACACCACAAAGAGGACCACCAGCACTACAACGCCGCGTCCTGGCTCTCGCTCTCCCCTCCTCCCACACCTGAGTGCGCAGATCAAGTGATGAGACCCTCCTGTGTGGATCAATGGCTGCATCTCAAGCGGAGGGAACTGTCAATATTTACCCAGGCCTCCCCAGAACTGGACTCATAAATGAAAAAAGAGCCCATCTCAGCACATCACTCTCTCCCAAAGGAATCATTACGTCCTTGGTTTTAATCCTGTGTCCACATACCTGTAATCCCTTGTCTATCCTTTTCTTTCGTTATCTATGGTTGTCTCTCCCTCCCCGAGACAGATTATCACACTGCTGAGGCTTGTAACGCTACAAGCTGTGTTTTGAGCAAATGCAAGAAAGAAAACAACAAAGGGCACGATGAAAAAGACAGAAGCCAACAGAGACCGACAGTTATTTGTCTGATGAACACTTCAGCCGGGCCAAGTGCAGCTGAGAGACTTCACCCTCTCCGCTGCTCTTCTTCTCTTCCTTTTTCCAGGCACTTTAGAGAACTATGCACTCTCCCTTTGAACAGATTATAGGCAACTTAAAGTGTGACAACATCTTAAGCTCTCACCACATGTTGCCAATGATTTCCCTTCTACAGACATTACATTTAATGCTTCTGCCGCAGTGATAAGCATCAAGAGGACTGGGTGGGATAAAAGAAACCCAGAGGAATAAGAGGGAACGGGGGAAAGGGGGAGCGAGAGCGTAGAGCTGCTTATGTGTCTTGATAATCATGCTACATTTAGCAACACGTGCAACAATCTCACCTACTCCCCTTTTGCTATTGAACAACACTTGGAGAAATACCATAACAATTTGTGGAAAGAATAGCCCGGGCTATTATGTCACCGCACCCCTTCAAAGACAGAGGGGTTGAGGATTATCCAGGCAGCAGCTGTAAGCCATTACTTTGAAGATGGGCTCTCGTGTTTGGGCAGGAAACCTGTGGCCATGCCAATCATTGCTGAGGTGAGAGATGAGGCCTGGGAGGCAGGTCAGACAAGGGCCTCCGGGGCAGGATGAAGGGCACGTGGAGCAATCGGTCAACTGTGCACGCTCCATATTTTCTCTACTGGCTATATCTTGGCTACA